AATGTGTGATGAAAATATTACCAGCACAACAAAGTTTCTTTCAAAACTTGCATACGAATAATCCTTACTTATGAGCGATACAGAATTTTACGTTAATTTATGGTGTTTATGAAATTAAAAGATTCTGAAGATGAGGGATTTGATATCTTCATCATCATAAGCTTTTTGGTGTAAGAATGGAAACAAAATAATAGAAATTACCGGAAATCAACGAAATATACAAATTTCGATCCAGATACATAAAAAGGATATAGGTATAGGTATAAAAACGATATTTACTTCAAATTTTCACCATATTTTTCTATATATAAATGTTTATATACTATATGACTTGCAGCAGTCATAAACATTTCCAACTGAGTTGTTATTGTATTACAACTACATAAGTGATTTGAAAAATAACATGGAATGTCTGGCTAAAGAGCGGAATGTATTATGAAAAGATAAATGCAATAATCAGGGTAATTACTTGTAAACCTTGAAACCATGTTCACTGTCGCTAACTAATTAATGAATATTTACCTAAGAAAAGAGGCAAAATACTTGGATAACAGGTTATTCGAATAATGGTTTCTTAAAGATAAGAGAACTCAAAATTTTATAACAATACAAGTGTCTTAGGGGTTCGGAAACGATATGAATTTTAGAGGAAATTAAAATCCTGTTGAAACTTAATCTTGTAAGACTTCTTTCGATGATAAAGTTAGCTAGACGAGTTTGTGAGTACGCAGATTAGTTTTCGGAATGTTAATTTATTTAGTTGTATACAAAAGACGAACCTATCAACAAAATGGTAAATTTGCTGTAATGCAATCGATATCTTTAAACGTTTCTTTATATCATTTTGATACACTATTTCGTTCAAGCTAGAGCATCAGTAGAATTCTCATTCAGCCGTAATTATTCTTTCCACATCCTTTGATTGAATTGTGAAACCTATACAACTTAAGTCCACTAATGCTATCGAACGTACGTTGATAAAAACAAGAAAATAATCTAAAGTTGTACCTATAAAAATAAAGGTTACGAAATTTATTGAAATCATGTGAGACCAGTACTTACACAAGTTTAGTTTATTTGTGTGAATTTGTCAGAGGATTTCCCGCAACCAAGAGGGGAAAAAGATGGGTCGACAAGAAGCTTTGAAAAATTATGTTGATCAATAAATTTACAAAGTGATTTATTCCATCTTAATATTATTGATTATCTATTTGTTTAAGGAGTTAAATATGTTTCGAATTCGAACCACAGTCTGAACCTTATAGTTAACTGCAAATTCATTGTACTGTGGTGTTGCTTCAACAATAAGGTTCGATTAATATATCACTTTGATATCACTAGCTTTTTAAATATCCACCAGGTTAGCCACCTGTTAATCATCATCTGACGATCATGAACTGGAAAACCATTTCTTTTAAATAGCCAGTTGTTGAAACTATCTTTATATAGTAAGATTTTTATTCATGTTTTAGTCCATTGGAATTTAAGGATTTACTTATAGCATAAATATTCGAGGTTACTTTTAGATACATTCACTTATAATAGAGAGTTTAAAAATTCTGTCAAAACGTCTAGCTTAGCAGTAATTAATAGTTAACTATGTATTATAAAAGTGTTATTCAGAAGCAAGCTAAATAAAACTTTTCAAATAAATGCTAAATAGAAAAGCTATTACACAGTTTATTTTTTTTCCCTGTTCGAAACTACTGAGGCGTAAAATTGACATCACAGACTAAGTATATGCTATCTTCAGTTGCATCATAAGTATTTACTACTATCTAGAATTAAAATAATACATTTTCATTATGCACAATAGTGTGGTAGGAAACAACATTTTATTGATCATGTTCAGTAGACCAGATAACAAACTATTTGATGTGTTGTTGATACATTTTAGAATATCTTTTTGTAAATTCTCATGATGAAATTGTTTTAAACAGGGAACTTAAGAGAAAAACTAAAGAAACATGGATGTTAGAAATAAATGATTTGAAAAATATTTCACAGGTAAACAAAGCTAACCGAGTATTGGTAAGAGGAGAATTATTGTACTGCTTGACTTGGTCGTCATTAAACTTTATTCATCCACTAAATAAAAGGTGAATAACATTTATTCGTTGAAGTCAACAAAAATACTCATGGAATCAGATTTTTATACAAATCAGGGATTGTTGATTATTATCTAAAGTAAACTTTTGAAGTAATTAATCGGTTTTTTTGAATGCTTTCAAATTATTTTTTTTACAGTATACTGCTTTTGTTATTGTCTATGCACTTTCGTTCATGGAAAATTATTCGTGCAGTTGGGAGGTTAACTTTCAGTTATTGTCAAGTCAAATGATATATTAACCATAAAGTTTATACTTTTGAATATCACATTCGACATGTTAATGCGGCGAATGTATTAAAAGTCACCAGAGTCATTTATTTTTCAAAATTCATTTATATCATATCAAAACTTATTATTTTACAGAGTAAATAAATAACTAGAAACTAAATGATGAATTCTTTATAATATTGTACAATGTTTAAGTCCAAAAGCATTCGAAATAAAATTTTAAAAAATGTATGATTTAATTGACAAACAACATTACTAAGTGAATCACATTGTGTTAGGCTGATAAATGTTTCATAATTTGTTACGCTACTTATTATGAAGTAATCCTGCTTTCATTGTATGATGCTCTGGAACATACAATTTGGAACTCTTACTTATAAACCGATTCTTCTGCAAACGCTCTATCATTTCAAGCGTTTTCAGCTACAAGTTTTGACTACCACTGTACTATTTAGTTTGAATTAAATTTTCAAGTGGTCAGTAGGAATATATAACATATAAATTTATAAGATTCTGTTTTGCATTTTATTACTGATGAATTTTCAAAAATACTCAACTAATATACTGACGTGTTATGAAGTAGATGTTCATAAATATCAGTAAATTTTTATGGTTTACCATAGTTATCATAGTTTTCTAGCATTAAATATACTTCTCAATTAAAAAGTCAAGATTATTATCACTCATGTAGATAATTACCTATCCGAGTTCGAGTATAAAGAAAAGTATTATTTCAACTAGTTCTGTGTATCAAAAAATTCTGATGCCCGATAACAAACAAGAATAATCGGTTGAATAAACTTTTATCTTACTGAACCATGAAATATAATCATCAGTTTAAAATCTTTTCAATTTTTTCAACTGTCAACTTCTAGATAAAAACCGAAAGTTTCTGCTTAGTATTGAAGAAAGCAATAATTATTGCTCACTTGAATAAATAATCAGTAAAAAAAACTAACTGGCCTCAAATAGTATGAAATCTCAGAAATAGCTTTCGATTGGGTGATAGACCGATATAACGGTTGAAAATGTGTCCTGAACTGAAATCCAAAATGTGGAGTACATTTAATCTCAAACCCATTAGTCGGATAATCGAAAGTTATGAATTAGACGTAGGTTCCTCTGTTAAGTAAAGTATTTTTAACATAATTTGAAAATTATTCCAGCTCGTGACTGTATGTAATCAACCAATATAATGATAGAATACAGAAAGAAAGTGGATTTTCGACTGACTATGAATTTCATTCAACATTACTTTAGTTTTCAAATAAATGTAATAATTATTCAGTGTAACAATTATTTTATTTTGAATGTGATATTTCATGGTGGTTAGTCTCTCACTAGTTTAGTGGCCGTCGTTATAAACAGTGTGTTCTTCAGATTTTGTAATTTGCTCGTGCAGACAACCGTTACTAAATAGCGCCTGACTATTTATAAATCAAAAGACGAATACGAAGTGTTGAGAAGCACAGGCACACAGTGCGAAAATCAATACGCGAGTGCGCAATGGCAAACAAATGAAAGAGCGGATTAGCGAGTGATCGAATCGGTAAATGAATGAATAAGATTAAACCAACCGAAAGCTAGTTAACTGGATTACAAATGTTGGTATTATTTTGTGATAAATTTTAAAGGATTATGTACGGTCAGTTAAGTACTTTGGAATTGTGGTTAGATTGAGCAAGTACTTATATCAGATCAGCGATAAGTATATTTTAGAAAGCTTATATATGTACATATTCGATGACTAGTATAAAAAAAACAATGAATTTATAGTGGTCTATTTAAGCAGTAAATGTATCCAACTAATATCAGTTGACAAATTCATCTGACATACAACACAAATTGATATGAGACAAAAACACAACCTACTAATTATATGATTTTTTTTTCTTTTGAAAACAATGTGAAAATCTTTAAAATCAATTGATGTTATCTACAAAAAAGCCTACACAAAAACAATTATTTTTTTTAGTTTACTTTGAACAATTTTTATTTCATAAGTGTTAGAAAGCAGTTAATTGCCAATTAAAAATACTACATAACACTCCTTGTTTTAGGGATGTAATTTTTACCAATCACAAGTACACTGAGTTAAGATAATTGTGATTGGTTAGTTTTCCGTCTAACCATATGGAATGTTAAACAACAAACAGCATGTGTTACATTTACATAAATGTATCTTTTTTTGTTATTGAAGGCTATACAAATTTGTTCTAAATCAAATCATTTCAAAGTAAATATGCGATAAACTTTGGAGTATCATTGTTTTTTTTCTTCTTCATACAACAGATGCAGGATGATATTGCTTTATCTTAGAACAACAAATTCAAGGAAATGTTAATATTTTTTAATTCAAATTTGTGAAAACACAATTTGAAATTTTGTACAGTTTTTTAAATTTGCTTAATGAGCCAGATATTTCAAACAAAAAAAGCTCCCTGTAAATATATTTATAGATTATCATCATTATCAATAATATATTTTCTGTCATGATATTATAAGATGGAATATACATGTACAAATGTTCAAGTTACAATTTCTATTCACATCATTTATTCAGTCGGATTATCGATCTGATAAGCTGTATTTCTTAACTTCATTATTTTTTTCCTTATTAAATGTACGTTTAAGTCATAGTTTTATACTGATTTGTATTATAATGTGTGATATCTGGTTCACTACCTCTACACAAATGTTCATCAATAATTCTGTTGATTCCACGACGGTGAGTAGTACTGCTGATAGAGAATTATCTGAGAGATTAATTATCAGATCAGCTTCTCTAATGCATGATAATTCACAGTCATCTGTTACTCCAACTCCAATCGCATTCAATGTAAATGAAAATACACCTACAGGAACAATTATCGGTTATATACCTGAATTAATTTATCCTACACCTCCAGCAAACATAAAATTCACTCTACCGCAAAATACATTTTTCGAAATTGATTATAAAGGTGCCCTCCGTGTTATTGGTGAATTGGACAGAGATGATAATCCATATTTATGTCTTGAACCTGGTTATCCACAACATTGTATATGGAGTAGTTTTGCTATCACAACTGATGGTCAGTATATAGGATTACGTATTACTGTCAATGATTTAAACGACAACATTCCTAAATGGCCTCAATCATTTATTTTGATTAATGTACAAGAAGAAATTAAAACAATACAAAATTTTGAATTACCTTTAGCTAGTGATCCAGATTATGGCATAAATTCAATACAAGAGTATAAATTGAAGACAGATATTATGGAATCGAAATATTTTAAGTTAATTGTAGAAAAGAATGGAATGAAAAATTTAAGTTTACATAACGTTCATTTAGTATTAAGTGTTATTGAATCATTGGATCGTGAACGCCAAGCTTGGTATAACTTAAGCCTTTTGGCCATTGATGGCAATAAACCATATCATACAGGTACATTGAAAATAACTGTTCATATAACTGATGAAAATGACCATACACCAGTGTTCTCAAGTCAAGTGTATCATGCTGTAATATCTGAAGATTTAGAAATAGGAAGTCTGATCTACTTAACTGAAAATAATCAAACTTCCAATGTTATTGACCCATTAGATATTCTAAGCGATGATTCTTCATCTAAACTTCATCTCAAAAACCAGTTATATGCTACAGATCCTGATGAAGGTTTAAACGGCGAAATCGAATACCATTACGCTGCTTCAACACCAAAGTCTGTCACTGAAAGTTTTGAATTAGATAAACATACTGGACTACTATATATCGCTAAAAGTCTAAACTACGATATTGGTCCAAATGAATGGAATTTTCAAGTAATTGCATCAGATAAAGGACGTCCAGCTAGGTCAAGTACAACTACTGTACAAATCAGTTTGAACGATGCAAATACTCACGCACCAACAATTAAATCACGGATACAATTATCAGAAAATTATAAAAAACACTTATCTCGATTGAATATAACTGTTGCATCAAATAGTGATAATATGTTACACATTCCAGAAAATGCTCCACATACGAATGATGCGCTAGTTGTTTTAACAGTAACCGATCAGGATACAGGGTCCGGTGGATCTTTTGAGTGTGCATTAAAACCAAGTGATATTAACACCATTAAAAGTAACATTTTATCAAACGGACCAAGTTATCATGACCATAGAGACTATACTACCAATCCACAAATCACAGAGCGATTCCTTTTAAATTTCACGGGGAAACTACCAAAGTGGAAAATATACAATATATATGCGACTACAACATTTGATCGTGAACTTGAACATACATACCTGTTAAATATTATATGCATTGATGAGGGAACACCAAAAATGACTTCCACATATACACTGACTGTGATTATTGAAGATGAAAATGATAATGCTCCAGAATTCACTGAAAACCAGTATGAAATTCATGTAAGTTAGATGGCGATTTTATTTGCTTTGCTACCTTGTATAACTCATGGTTAACTTTAACATACGCAAAGCAGCACTATTCATTGATTAGTTTGTTTTCATATTGAATATTTCTAATTGAATCTTAAAGATCATCGTACAACAGCATTGAAGAGGCATTCATTTGGTAAAATCACAAATGGCAAATGAGAAATATCAACTAGGATTTTACAAACTAAACTGTTCTTGCTTCATGATGATAATTTCTTTGAGTATGAGAATAATTTTATCAAAAGCAAACACTACCACTGCTTACTAGATTAATAAATTAATTTCATAGACCTATAAATCGTCTCCATGATTTAAAGTAGAGTGTAAGACAATAATTTAATAAATGAACATTTAATCTGAAGTTCGTAAAATCTGTCAACGTCACTTGTTCTGAAGGTGTGAAAAACCTAAAACTCTTCTGTATTTCATTATTTTACAATACGATACTGTTTGAATGGCTACTAGGTATTTTGAGAAGATTGAGCTTGATATTTTAGCAGACCTTTAATTTTTGATTTATGGTAGGAAATGTTATTATAGTATTCGAAAGGTTCCTTTTTAGACCTCATTAGCTATTGATTTTACAATAGAAACGTCAAACATCATTTCCTGAAATATTGAAATACATCGATAATTTCAACAAAACACTTCAAAGGTGTAATTCGTCCAGTTTAAACGGATATCATTATTTTTTAATGGGATTCATTAAAAATGTACATTATTCATGATATTGTTGAAAACCAATGAGTTCTAGTTTTTGACATCTCAACAAAGTACACTCAAAATGTGCATCGTTTTATTTTGAACCAAGAGATCAGAAAGTTTCAATCCTTGACAAAGCTGTGGGTGCATGTTGTTGAGGAATCACAAAACATCTTGTTTGCTTCAGCTAAGTCAAGTTCGTGACAACTATCACTAAAACAAATAAGTCGGTTCTCATAGAATCCTTTCATCAAATATTGTAAATACTTAGGACCAAAATGATTTAAAATTATGTCTAAATCATATGTACTCACACAAACTTGGAGAAGAAATGCTCAACATTAAAAATAATACTCAGAAATGGGGATGAACTGTAATCAGGAATATTATAGAAACAGTGACATATCAAGGGGGCATCTAAAATCAATCGACAGGAAGATAGGAGGTAAACAGATGGCTTTGCCTGAAGATAAAGGGATAAAATTTAAAAAAATTAAGGCTATGATAAAAGGAAGAGGTCGTACAAGTTTATTTTGTACACATAATTTTGGTTCTTCCAAATGTATAAAGAATGTTTCGGTAGTGTTAAGACCAAAAATTCACATATTCTTGCCAATGCATTGATGTATATAAAGTAATAGGGCTCCAAAGAAACTGTGAAAATGCATGACCCAAATGCTGGAATCGAACCCACGGCAGGAAGACTAAACTTTTAGACCACTGAACAAGTATTAATGTCTAATTTCAGTGGATTTATGACCTTGTGCAACTCTTCATCCTTAACATGTATCGAATAACCAAAATCTACTGATCACAGCTTTTCACTAGTGTATCTCTGACCAGCACATAGTGCAAATACATCACATTTCTCAGATCAACTCCATCTTTTTATCATTATTTTATAAAAAATTTATAAACAGGTCTAATTAATTTAAATTTTTTGAACAGCTAAATGAAAAGTTACTACCTGTAGAGAATGTCTCAGTTATTAAGGAAAAAAAACATGTTTCATGTTCTTTGATAACTTTCAAGCAAACATCTTGAAAAATACCTTATATTCTATTTCATAAACAATATTCAAAACTTAGAACTAAGGTTTTTACTCAAATATTCATTGTATGAAGATGTCTTGTGCTTACATAATTTCAGAGATCGGTATAAAAAATGATGGTAGCCATTCAAATTATACTACTTTTTTTATAATTAGATTCCTATTTTCTGGTTTTAATTCATGATATAGGAAGATTTGGCTCTGTTACTGGACAAATATAATAAAATTTAACAGAGACCAACCATTCCTTTTTTTTCGAAATGAAAAATTTGTGCCTTATTATTATCTCGAAACATTTTATTTCTCTTACGTGGTGAGAGTGAATGAATAAAAATAGTGTGTAAAATAAAGTAGAAGATAAATTTTCAATTATTTCCTCATCATGGCTCTACATTAACTTCTATAGGTTTGAGATTAAGATGGCTATAGCAATAAATAAGGTGAAGGTACAATCTTTAGGCGAATAACTATGACTTTCATGCTACGTCAATAGTGAACTTTCTCTGATGCATTATTATGAACGGTTTTGTTAGTTTGCTGACTTATTTCAAACATTATGTTAAGTTACACAAAAAAAATGAATATCATTCTGCGAAAAATACTGTTAAAAATTTATACAGAACTTGTAGTCCATATTATTGATTTAACACTTACCCTGCAACTGATAGCCTAAAACTAATGAATCCAATAAGGTAAACATTGAAACAACGTGGTATTCCGTAATCAATATTGTACGCTTAACTGCGTATACATTTTCTAGTTATGGTCACTTTCTGGTCCCATAAAAATAATTTCTTAAGTTATTTTCTTAATCTAGTCAGCGTTACAAAATAATACAATTATCCATTAAATCCATGCGTAATAATGATTTATTTTATTTTGCAATTAAAGTCAATTAGGCAACAAAATACACTAAGTATAACATTTTAAAGATAATGTTTGGGAGGTTTATATAGAAAACAATCAGAAGAAAAAAACAGTTGCAGAAACTATTACTATGGTATCCTGTACTAAAAGTAACGACGGAATTAAGTAAGGAAACCAAACTTTTTTTAATTGACTTGAAAATATGTTATAAAAAAAATTCCAAACAAAATATAATCATTGCAATAATTGAGGTAGATATGGCTGAGTTGTAGAGAAAAACACAAAGCGTAGTCATCAAGGTACATTTCCAAGCTTTCCACTATGTATATTGAATAATAAAAGTAGGAAAACAAAGTTCATTAAGATAGTTTTTTTTGTTTTTAATAATAATAATCACATCAGTAAACTCCGTAAACTTGTTTCTTTCATTCAGTGTATGAGAAAATATTTGAAAATGTATTTCATGATATAGTATTTTTAAAATATGTGAATAATAATGTAAATTAATGTAAACTGGCTTAAATGAAACAACATATAGAACTTAGATTTCATGCCGGTTTTCATTTCGTTTAAGAATAGCAAATTAAGAATTTCTTTTCTATACGGTCCTTAGTACTAATCAATAAAAACTGATCACTGAAGCGACACTGGTTACCAGAAAACTAGTCCATTATTGTCATTTTATGAATCAACGTAGTGTCATAGCCCATGTTATCTCTGAAAATCATTTGTTGTATTTTTATGTTACAAAAAAAATATTTTGTTACTAGTTGAATTGTTCTTGATTTATTTGATGTTGTACTTTGGGACATTTAGGAAAGATTGTCTTGACTACTGAGAACCTTTAATCTGATTGAAATTTTCATACGGAAGGTAAATCAGAGGATTTATTAAAACTACATGTAGATAGGATCATTACATTTATGGGTAACATAACTTATTGCTTTTGCGCTATATTTCATATATATGCAATACTTTCTAAAATCCGATTAATGGTAGAGATCTTTAAAAATCGTTTGCTGAGGCAGGGGTAACATAAAAATATCAAATAACATTCTCTTTAAACAATTTATATTGAACAAATAATGAACGTTTTGACTTTCTGACGTAAATCGTCATATCATTAACATCAGTTTTAATTTTAGCTTGATATACAATGAATAATACTATTAAAAATGTACGTACAACTACTTAGCTTTAATGATGCCTCACTGTACTGTTAATGACAGGAAAAATATTTGAACAAAGTGTTTTTGGACCGAGTACAAGATTCAGTAGACTTCCACTTTCGAGATTAACACGTTGAACTGCGATCTTTTTGATTATGTGCTGATCGAATCACGATATTACGGATTATTGCTGAACAACCAGTTGTTAGGAACCCATCATTACTATTCACCTTTCTTGACTATGAGAAAATATTTGACATCGTGGACAGCATAACATTACGGAGACTTCTTCGACATTATGGTGTACCCGAAAAGATAGCCAAGATCATGCGGAATTGCTACAATCGAGTGTTTTGAATAATCGGGCATCGAGGACAGATCACAGACTCATTCTAAGTTAAAACCGGTGTCAGACCAGTTTGCTTACTCTCACAATTTCACTTTCTTTTGCTGGGTTGACTGAATTATCTACTTTTACTTCAAGATACGCACTCAAGCACATAATTAATTTGCATAGGACACATATTCTTATATAGATGATTATGGAAATAATTCTTTGGCGCATGAAATAACGACTGAAACTTCCTTCGATAAAATTAACTGATTCAAAATGGAGAGTAATAAGTTTTTCGTTGTCTATGCTATGAATTTAATGGAGGGATATCGATTTTCAGTGTAATCACAAGATTTTGTAAGCACTTATGAAAAACACTTATAATTAAAGTATAAACTGCTATGCTTTTTGTAACTTAACAGATTATTATATAAGCACAAAGGAAACTGATCAGGTGATTTACAGTTTATATTTGAAAAAGGAAGAGATAGATGAAAGGATGAAGATGGACTAAATATAAAAAAATAAATTCCAGGAGAAAAGTATATTGTTATTCATAGACAAACCTTACATTTTCAAATATTCCTCTGGGGATTGATTATTTCTTTTGCTAAAATCACTTTGTTAAGAGGAAATGTGAGGAACGGAAATTAGAAGGAAAAAATCCGAATGAATAGATAGATAATTTTAAGAGATTCTTTCATGAATTCGCAGCTAAGTGTTACGTAGGGATAACAGCGTGTACATTCACACAAACATATCAGTTTCATTGAAAAATTAGCTACACGAGCAACTTGAAATAATTTCGATAAATGCTGTCAGGTGGTTAGGTTAATTTTAGAAATGA